GTTGATTGTAAAGATTACTATATCATGGTCGCTCAAGCCGGAATGAATCCGCACATTTGTCACCAATGAAGGTGCCGAAGACAAGACCAGGTCAAGAGTCTTACCAGAAGCTGGTCGAGAGGCTTGTGTCACTGACTGAGTGAGAGAGTAGTCATCTAGGAAGTTTAATAGGTATTCAGCATCCGCTGTTGAAGGTGAAGTATTCAACAGCGTAGGTGGATCGGTGGACCAATTTATGTCACCAACATTAAAATCCCCAGAGACCACAACGGACGGGCAGCTATGTCTCAGTTCTCTGCTAAAGATTAGCAAGATTGTCTGCGATTTTCAGCAGACGATTTTGGAATGTAGTGCGGGACAAACTGAAGGAATCAACTGTTATCACAATAGCTCACCGTTTGAACACTTTAAAAGACTGTCAAATGATTTTGGTTTTAAAAGATGGAAAAGTTGATGAATTTGAAAAATTTTGTTTACTAGTAAGCAGTCAGATCTGAACCCAACGGGGCTCTTTGAAGAGAGTGCGAATAGTTTTAACTTGGAGGTACGTTGCCTCTTTTGCAACCCCGTACTGCTAACCATAGGCCAAAGTCCACTGGGTGCGAAAACGGTGCAGTGGCTTTTTGTGCTTGCAGAAAGAAGATAAATGATGAACCATGAAGTAAACTTTACGCCTTGTTTCGTCGAGTTGTTTCTCGTTTGAGAGAGCTTAAAAGTCATGAAACACTTAATACTTACCACTACTTTAGTCACAATACTTGGCTGTGTCCAATAGTATAATTCTTTAACAATTCTTTCAATATTCATATATTTGCTTATTGTTTTTCATCTGAAGAAAGTTCTATTTTGATCGACTGATGTAATAATTAACTATGTGTGCATGTATCTTGTCTTGCTTGAAATGCTTCTACCCGAAACTTTAAACTGATCTTTTGCTGGAGTTCTGATCGGAAACAACATTTCGTTGAGGGACCAAATAACAACAAGGACCTTTGTCCTCTACTTGGTCAGCGATTGGTAGGGCAATGGCACTTGAAATTGAAGATTTTTAGAGACTGCTTCGAAAAACTGATTTCATAAACGTGAATCGGTGATTGTTTGGTGTTGTGTTGCTTCAAGCCCAAACATCGCACGCCCTGTCAGTGTGGGAAACCAAACTTACTTCTTGAGTCCGATCGTGTTCGATTAAGCCCCAATTAAAAGTAATTGTATTCGAATGGTGTGTTGGGTGGTTAACAACGCTAAGGAAACACCAATTGCGATCTATGGCCGGCATTATTCCAGATTATTAGGGTGACATTTGGGGTTAATCGTGGACTAGCGGGAAAAACCGGATAATTCAGTACAGCAATTATTCGCCGAAGGCAAAGTGAATATTGTTGAATTATATCCCAAGATGAAGCCGAGAGGATTATTCAACAGCTTATCCCCAGAAAACGATCTTCAGATTGTCTACTTTTCTTCGTCCGATTTTAGTATTATTAAAATATCAAAATCGAAGGAAGGAAAGGAAGACAATCGGAATATCGTCTCCCGAGGATGGGCTGGAGAAGCGTCCGGTATGGAATTTGGAAAAAAAAAAAAAACCAGAATACAGAAGGAATTAAATGCTAAGGCATTATTTGTACTTCGGAAAAACCACGAGCGGCAGAGGTAGCCAATAAAATTTGTTCACAGAGAAGGCGGGAAATCCGGGAATTCTTCACACTCCACACCCAGGGTAATATGAACCTTGATATCCCTCAACACAAAGAGCCAGTGTATTTCAACTGTTCGCACTATCGCTCGTTTAGTTTTGCTATGGTTGAACTGTGATTGTAGGCCGATAGCAAAATGAACAAGCTCGCTATTGCCCTTTTTCATGTGTTTCTAGTTTTCTTTTTCTCTCCGAAACCGAGCGATGGTCAAGGTTTGAGACCACAACCGATAAACATCGCTCAAGGGAAGAAAATCGAAGCAACAGCAACATGTGGCGAAGATGTTAGTGAACCAGAACTCTTCTGCAAACTGGCCACTGTACCCGGAAAGCTGGGCATTCTAGGGTTGTCCTGTGACCACTGCGAGCCAGGTACGCCTACCAAAGATCATTCGATAAAATATGCCATCGATGGAACGGAGAGATGGTGGCAATCCCCTCCGCTGTCCCGCGGCCTACAGTACCAAAAAGTAAACATCACCATCGATCTAGGACAGGTAGGATTTCTCCGTATGCATGACTGACCCGTAGTTTTTTTATACTTGGTGTTGGAAGTTCCCTCTGATACCCATCGCTGCACTGCAATGCGATTATTCAGAGAGATCATTCTAGAGGTAAACAGTTTCATAACTATCGAGGACACTGTGATCCGTTCTAAGTGCTGAAAATTTTGAGCTCATTTAGTTTAAGACGAAGTTTAAAATCTGGATGGAAAGTTTGTTATGCAAACCAGCTGAAAGTCCAATAGAGTGAATGCGGTGGGAATATTTTTCGTATCGGGGAATCAAGAAACCATAAGGGTACAGTAAATCTCACCTACGTGTGAGGCGAATTACTCAATCAAGGATTGTGTATGCATTTATGTGAAATTTAGCACGTATTTACGCTTTGAATTTCCATACTTTGTAAACGTGAATCACGCTGAATCTGTTTTATTTCCTCAACGATTTCTTCGATGAAATGTAGAAACTGGAAATCAAACTTTCTTTTATCCAACATGCATTAATTAAGGCCCTCAAAAACAAAGGAAGAAAAAAATTAACCAACAAAATCCTAACATGCCATATTCCTCATTAGCTACTCAAAAGAGATCTTAGGGCTTTTTCAAAAGCCTAGGTTTTCTTTTCCTAAATGTTATAACATTGAAGTTTAGTTAAGAAGGTAAAATGAAACTCTTAATTATACCTAAGGAAAAGAATGTTGGGAGTGCTTGGAATTTACCTTTGGTTTTACAAGTGTACCTGTATACTCTCTCCAGGAGGTTCCTTACAGCTTTTCCTGTTCAGATGTCACTGTTAGTTCAACAAAGCACCTCTCTTCATTATTATATAATGTAAATCACCTTTAAGATGGATTTTGGGAACCAAGTTTTTGTTTACTTTAAACTACATCCAAAGAAATAGACTTATTTCTATAAGTAACAGAGAAGTCTTCAAACATGAGAAGTCCATGGGAAAATGATAAGAGAAATCAAAGTTTTGATGAAAGGAGGTTATGTAAGGGTCACCACTGTGAAACAAGAATTTTTTAACTGGTAATCCAAGAATATCATTCTGTGAAGCTAAACCTGTGTTTCTCATATAGGAATATCAAGTAGCCTATGTTATTGTAAAAGCTGGGAATGCTCCACGCCCTGGCACTTGGGCCTTAGAGAGATCTGTTGATGGTGGAAAAACATTTAACCCATGGCAGTACTTTGCTACTACCAACAGTGAGTGTCTGTCATACTTTGGAAGCTCAGCTCTGTTGCAGTCATTTAAAGATGACACAACAGTCACTTGTACAACAAGCTACTCACAGGTTCCACCTTTTGAAAATGGCGAGGTGAGTGTTATAAGGTTTTTTAATTGTCTTATTAGTTGTAATGGATAAAAGTGACAAATTTTCCTCCAAAACCATAGATTTATCTAGCTACATGAGTAATTGGGAAATCATGCTATTTCTTGAAATGTAATCTAACCTCTGCAATTGGTACACAAAAGTAACAATTTAAATAAATTTGAAAATAAATAATTATAAGTTTGAAATATTGGAGATGTGTTGCTATTTAATTTGAGAAAATAAACCAGTCTAGTCTCTCACTTCAGTTAAATTCATGTTTAAGATGCAAATCTCTTCACATTTCAGATCCATATTTCACTAATTAATGGAAGGCCAGGAGCAGCAAACTTTTCCTACAGTCAGGCATTACAGGTAAATGATGTCACAAATAAGCAATCAAAATTGATCAGTTTATATAAACAGGATGTACGGTTTATGTATCCTGATGTAGTTCATTTTGGGATAATTTCATGATCACCTAGTAATGATATGCCAAGATCTCTGAAGGTTTAAAGAATACAGCATAGTATTTAGATAGCTTTTCATTGAAATGTCATGTTATTTTTTTTCCTTGTAAACAAGATTATTGCTTGTCACTTGTAAAAATCTGATAACCTATATTTTGAAATGTGAGCAAGAAGACAAAAACAGCAGTTTTCAAATACCTTAGTCATTGATAATGCACTGCAGGCACCAGCAGTGGAATCAGCCAAGTTTAAGATGTAAATAAAAGTTTTCCATCTTGCTGGGTATCAACAAGTATGGAAGCCAAATTTTTTCTGTATTTAAATGTCAAACTGTGAAACATTTTATTACAGGAATGGACTCGTGCTACTCATATAAGGCTGAGGTTGTTAAAAGTGAAGACTTTGTTAGCTGATCTGCTACCACTGGCAAGGAAAGATCCATCAGTTACTAGAAGGGTTTGTATTTATACTTGCTCATGTACATTAACCTAACTAATAAATGACCTTCCTCTTAATACGCTTTCTAAAACAAGCCTACAAAATTTGATGAAGATGTAGCTGTAAGAAAAATAACGATAAATGCTTTTGAAATTGACAACCAAAACACTGAAAATTCCATTTCTGAAGCATACCCCCAGAACCCCCCTTGGTTTTAAGGGGCCTTAAGGCTCCTCAATTGGTCACAGCCACCCATAGACACCTACTTCAAATCCCATTGAGAATCCTAAGAATTTGGTACTTAATTATTATTTACCTCAAGTTTGTTTTGTTTACAGTATTTCTACTCAATAAAGGATATTTCAGTTGGGGGAATTTGTATGTGTAATGGCCATGCTGACGAATGTATTCAAAGTGTAGAGGACTCACTATTCAGGTGCAGATGTAAACATCAGACATGTGGTATCAAATGTGAAAATTGCTGCCCTGGATTTGTGCAGAAGAAATGGAGACCAGGAACTGCAGAAAGCAGCAATGAATGTGAAGGTGATGATGAATACAGAATTGTGTGTATAGTTCATTGTTTGGCTCGAAATCTGGTGGTCCCAGATTCAAACCCTCCACTCTGCTACGCACTGGATTTGGTTTTGGTGGTCCCAATTTTAACTCTATGGCTGTGTTTTGTATATACCCAACTGGTCTGCCTCCTACCCGTTGTGATTTTGGAACACTAAGTTCATTCATTCATGCAGTTGGCCCTGAAAAGCTCCATTGGGGGAGAGATCAATAAATTTACATAATTGGTAAATCATTGCTTCTCTGGTGACTACATCTGTTAGGATTCACATCACAATAGTTAGACAATTTTTTAGAGAGAAGGATTAATCCCTAATTTTTGCCTGATGGGCAATTGTACAGTGTACTGTACTTTTGTGAAGTTTGTAACAAAGCTCGGGGTGTGGTGTTTAGACTTGTACTATAGCTACTAGTGGTGTATTACTTTTTATATTTAGTTTACTTCTCTTACTTTCTTAGCATGTAACTGCCACAACCATGCAATAGACTGTTATTATAGTGAGGAAATAGATCAGCAAAAGAGAAGTTTGGATGTCAATGGGAATTATGAGGGTGGAGGAGTGTGTGTCAATTGTCAGCACAACACAATTGGTATCAACTGTGAACAGTGTAAACCAGGATACTATCGACCAGCAGATAAGGCAAAGACAGATCGTGATGCTTGTAAAGGTATGGCTGTAAACTAGTCAACTGACACACCATGTAGTGCAGGGCTGCAGTCTAGCAGCACCCTATGGTCCCTGGCACCTTACTTTTGCTCTTGGGCCACTCAGGAATCTTAGTTTTTTCATAAAAAGCATATGCTGGGCACCCTGGATTTCACAGTTTCAGAGCACTGGGCTTCTTTCAATTTTTCTTAGAGCACAGCCTTGTATTGTTTCTAGAAGGTAAGCTCATTTTCAGATCATAACCACAATTACTTATAGTTTTTTAACCCTTTGACTCCCAAGATCTCCTTAGTAATTTTTGTTACGGTCTGTCATAAAATTCCTATGATGTAAGTTCAGAGTTTGGTATTGGATCAACCAACAATCCCCTAGTTGATATTATTTTTTCTTTATTCTTATCACCATCTGCTTGATATTGTATTGATATTTTAGGGAGAAATTCTGTCTTTGTTGTTCAAGGGAGTTAAATGGTTTTTAAGGGTTAATATCAGGAAAATTCCTCAGACAACTTAGAACATTTAGTAAGTGTGTAACAAGATTCACTTACTGCTGGGCAAATAATTGTTTTTAATTAATATAATTATGATAATCGCCTGATTATCATAATTTTATTTCTTTCCTTCCAACCTGTCACACAACAAATACCAGCCTGAACAACAACAAAAAACCAAATACTAACTTACTAAACTGTTCGCTTAAGCCAACGAAAGACCCAATGACGCTTTTTTAAAACTCTCTTCAATGGATAAAAACTAAACGAACATTTGCAAACCCAGGTTCAAGCCAAAGTTATGTGACCGGCGAAACCTCCTAAGGGAGTCGGGAGTGACATAGTCTGGCATGCAGGTCACATGGTGATGGATTCTCTCTTACCTGGATATCTTAACTGACAGTCAGTCTATCAGTTTTTCAGATAGTGGCATCAACTGGAAATTCTTTTGTACATTACAGTTTGTACGTGTGACAGAAGGTTTTCCACCGGTCGATGTTTTGATGGTGATGGGCAATGTCAATGTCTAGAGAACTATAGTGGACCTAATTGTACTCAGTGTAATGAGGGCTTTTATGGATTCCCTAATTGCAAACGTAAGTTAACTTTGTTTTCTTTCTTCGCCTAGGAAAGAATTTATCCTTTCATTTCAACAGCTGCTTTACGATAATCGTTTTGATTACAATTGTAAAATGCAGTGAATACAAAGAAATAAATTTAATCAGAAACAAAGGAAGGAAGTAAAAGGGATCAGGAAAGTAAAAATTTGCATGGATTACAAGTGAGAAGCTTGAAAAGTCAAGGATAAATTTTACAAAATGCTTACACTGTCTATACCCCAGCTAAAATGAAGGTTGAACTTATGTTGAGATTTGGAGGGTCGTCTTTCACCCTTAAAAAATGAGTGTTAGTGTTCAATATTGGTTCAGGACACTTTGATTCTTTTCCAGTTGTTATCAACGAATAAAATTTAAATTCCATGTTAGAAATGTTGTTATCTATCATCAGCTTGTGACTGCCATCCGTTGGGTACAAGTGGACGTGTGTGTGGTCCAACAGGCGATCAATGCCCATGTAAACCAAACTACACTGGTGCTAAGTGTGATCAATGTGCTCGAGGCTATTATGGCTTCCCAAACTGCAGCCGTGAGTTCTTATATTGATAAGAAAAGAGGTTAACTGCAGAGCCACATTTGAGTCTCTTATAATAATTGATTAATACAGGGTTTTTCTTATGCAATTGGCTGGAGAATATTCTCCAAAAGTACTTGAAAAAAATTCTTAAGGAAAATCGGAGTAATAACAATTTTGATATTAATTTGAATTATTGTTAATTTTTCATCTAAATGATTAAATAATTTTTCTGACTGTGCTAAATTTCAACAATCTGTTTATGATTTAGTTGTCTTATCATTGCTTTGTATTGTTTTGTTTCAGGATGCAACTGTGATAATTTAGGATCACTTTCAGCAGACTGTGATGTGTCAGATGGACAGTGCAGATGTCGTCAAATGTATACATCCAGACAGTGTAATCAGTGCAGTAAGGGATTCTACAGCTTTCCTGAATGCAAAGGTTAGACACAAATTTAATAGCTGCTGGGGTATTTTAACTCTTTAACTCTGAAGATCTGATTGTTAATTCTCTCCTATAATTGCTTTACATTTAGTTACAAGAATTTGGTGTTAGCTAGAACACCAACTTCTAACCAGGATGACTTTGAGTATTCTCTTTACCTGTTTGCTAGATAAAGTATGGATACCCTATGGAGACTTACATGTAAATCACTCCTGGAGTTGAAGGGTTACATTTTATTTGATTAGCAGTGTTTTTCATTTTGGTTTGTAGACCAGTCTAAAAATCCATATGATAATACTGGAGATTAACAACAAAGAAGTGCCACATGACAGGAAGGAGGGTGTATTTCTGACAATCGTACCACATCTTAGCATCTTCTGATCTGATTCAGAACAGAAACACCATGATGGAATTTAATTACTTCTTTTATGTGATTAACAATACACATAGACTGTATTTAGTGGCATTTTCATTGCGTGAGGGACCTATTCAAGCACATATTCACCAAATCTGTGTTTTTTTTCTTGACCTAGTTTGTAACTGTGATGCAGAGGGTACTGCAAGAGATATCTGTGATCCCACCACTGGAGAATGTATTTGTATGAAAAACTATGCAGGACCTCGCTGTGATATTTGTAATGAGGGATATTACAATTTTCCAAGGTGCTCAGGTAACTTTAACACATGCATTGTAATGGAGCTAAATTGGAAGAACAAAATTTATGTCTCCAGAGTGAGTATCCACATTAAAACAGAATTATGTGAATATGAAACAATAATCTGCTCATCAAAACACAATTTGATTTCACTAAGAAACCCTACAACTGAAGGCTAAAGACTACCGTAATTTCCGGCCGTTTACCCGCAGGTAATCTGTTGATTTGGCCTTAAACACGCGCCACTGCGGGTAATAGGGAGGTGCAGGCTATGTGACATTTTTTAAATCTACTGGCAGTTGAATTGAAGAAAATTCTCACCTACCTGCGTTTCCACCTCTCAGATGAATTTTATTACATTAAGAGTGCCAAAAAGTGGCTTGAAAACGCGATGCTGACTCAAGTTTATTTCATGCACAATTAGTTACGAGACGAACAAATTACTATCGGCATGTGTGTAAACAGCCTTGATGGTGACAAAAATAAACCGAGGATAATGGGCGCATCACTAACAAATTTCCAGTGAACACTAGCTTCAGCTGAAGAGAATTTTCCCGTTTTAAGGGACTTGTTAGGCCCAGTAGAACCAGAGATATCGATTTTTTTGAGAAATCAACCCGGTGCTGAACAATTGTTCGCACAAAATGTCTGTTGACTTTTTCTTTTCGCTGCATGCAATAATCGGCCGGTGTGGGTAAACGCACGTGCGTTTCATCTTTCCCAAGTTTCTTGACTTCGTTTCCTTCATGTTGAATGCATTTTCTAACTTAAACTTCATTTTTACATCACAGGAGCTACAAGATTCTTTGTTTTTAAGTCAAAATTTGTGATCAAGTATTTGTTCGCAAGTTTCTTGACTTCGTTTCCTTCATGTTGAATGCATTTTCAAACTTAAACTTCATTTTTACAACACAGGAGTTACAAGGTTCTTTGTTCTTAAGTCAAAATTTGTGATCAAGTATTTGTGAAACAGTTCACTGGTTGGTATACTAGGTACTAGCAACTTCACCCACTCCTTTTTTTGTCTTTCAGATTGTGGTTGTTCAATAGAAGGCTCACTTTTACCAGCATGTGACCCACGTGGTAGGTGTGTATGCAAAGACAACTACGATGGACTAAGATGTGACCGTTGCAAAATTGGATTCTACAGCTATCCAAGATGTGTCAAATGTTCTTGCGATCTTCGAGGTTCAGTTCATGAGTTTTGTGAGTCAACCACAGGACAGTGCCAGTGTAAAGGATCTTTCCGTGGTATAAACTGTAATCGCTGCCGCAGCGGCTTTTATGGATTTCCTGATTGTCAAGCCTGTCAATGCGATCCTGCAGGAATTAAACCACTTCCTGATGGACAGGCAGTAGACTGTTCCTTATCTAATGAGGTGAGCACAATCATGTATTTTACATTAAGAATCATATGAAATTATCAAACAGAGTGAGACATGTATTGTTCAAATTTTTTCAGTGAGGAACCAAGGATCATGAGGTGATTGCCCAAAAATAAAAAAAGAAAAGAAAAAACACTAAGGGAGAAAAGGGAAATTTCTGATGTAAGAAAATTGTGAAGCGTAGGAGTGTATTGTTTTGCATGGTAATGGAAATATCACTAAAATCCTCTGCTAATGTTTATTTGAGTTACTTAATAATAGTTTATTAAAGTATAGTACCACCTTATTCCACCAAAGCGCGCCGATTGCCACGTTTATGAGTTGCGCAACAAAAACCATGTATCACTCTTTAAATGCCGGACCGAAAGATTTAAAAAATCTTTCTTTCCAACAATGGCGTCTAACGCCCAGTTCTTGTAGTCAAGCAAACCTAAGCGTTTTTCATTGGTATGTAACTGCCGATTCTTGTAATTCCCAGTCCCTTTAGACTCTTAATTTTAAAGTCAAATGTAAGATTTTCGTATTTTTTAAATATTTAAAGTATACTTGTAAATTCACATGTATTTCACCACTTGGGTGCCATTTTTGAATACTTTTAATAAACCTTCTATCATCATTATCATCATCATCAAATATTTTGAACTTCGTTCATAATGTTCGCTTAATAAAGGAGTTTTTTGTTTTTGCAGTAAAAACAAAAAACTCGGTGAGACGTTTGTTACAAAACTCAACGAGTTCATTAATTTTTTAATTTCATCTTTGTAATCCTGTGGCAAACAAGGCAAATTAAAAGCCCTTTTAACAACAAAGACAAAAACACTCACAGATCCAAAGTTGTTTACAAAGGAGATTGTTCTTGTGGCATTGATTACATTGGTGAAACTGTGAGAAATTTAGCAGTACGTATTGCAGAGCATTCAAATCCTGATCATGCACACCTCTGAAGCTGCAAAACACTTGCGGGAAAATCCATCACCTTTTTTCACTTGGCATGTTCTCTCCTCAGTAGAAACATTCCACAAGCGTAGGATCATTGAGGGGCTAATGATCCAACAATTCTGCCACACTTTGAACAAACAAGTTATTTCTTATGTCTCCAAACTTTTCCCATCGTGAATCATATAAGATATATATGTATGTACAGACGATCATTATTTTCAACCCTGATGATGGCAAACAGCCGAAAACGGTTGGTGTAAACATTTTAATTTTTTCCTAATCTTTTAGCGTTTTATATAGAGTATCCTATATTTTGAACTTTGTTGTTGCAGGGTCAGTGTGACTGCAAGGATAATGTGCAAGGTCTTGCATGCACAGAGTGCAAAGATGGTTACTACTTCCTTGATAACAATAATCCCTTGGGCTGTGATACCTGTGAGTGCAATATGGATGGTGTGATTGGTGGGCTTCGCATTTGTGACAAGGAAACTGGACAGTGTCCTTGTAAGCTGTATGTTGCAGGCAGGAAGTGTACACGATGCAAGCCAGGGTTCTATGGTCTGGAAGGCCGCAAAGTGTTTGGCTGCACAGGTAATGCAGTGGTTTCAATCATATACATTTAAGTAGTGTGTTAAACTCTTTGCTGGGGTTTTAGATTGGGGTTAGGGCAAGATGGGTGCGTCTCAAACTAAGGCAATATGGCCCATAACTGCTGTTGCAGGAGTGGTGTCACTCGCTCCCCCCCCCCCCCTTGTGGATAGGTCGCTAGTTCATTGGCAGTAACCTTCAACCTTCTAGCATATTTTGTTCAGGTCGACAAATGCACTATACTGTCTTTAATGAAGTTAATTTTGGGATGCACACTATATGAGAGATACAGATTAATTCTTGAACCCAGCTCTAACTCCCTGAAGTGATCAACATAATACTTCTCCCCATAGTATTCAGCAAACAGGTAATGAGAATACTCAAACTTATCAGGAAGATGTTTTTTGAGATCTAACACAAAATTCTTATTACTAATTTACAAGGAAATATGGAGCACCGGAGGGGAGAATTAACAATCAGATCTTGGAAGTTAAAGGGTTAAGTAATGATTGGAATTAATTTTGGATACATGCTGTAGGTTGTGACTGTGATGTTGGAGGAGCATATGACCAGCTTTGTGATGTGGACTCAGGGCAATGTCGTTGTCGGGTGAATGTTGTTGGGAGAGACTGTAGCAGGTATGATATTAAAATTGATGAAAATTTGATGTTTACATGTACATGTCAGCTTAACATTATGCTGAGGTATGGTGTGCTTGCCGTTCTTGTAGTCTCACTGTGCAGTATGTTTGGCTTGCATAGTGACTCCAATGGCTGACATGTGTTTGCAAAACCTTTTAACCCCTAAGAATGACCAACATCTAATTTCTCCCTACAATATCATCCCCTGAATCAAACATCAAGGTTATGAGAATAAAGGAAATGATCACTAACAAAAGAAGCTTGTCAAACAGATTCCCCTTGTTAGAACTATAGGAAATTTCTAGACAACAGTATGGAGAATAAGCATATTGATGTAAAGCTGTTGGGGTTAGTTTTACACTTGAATTGCATTTTTTTAGGCCAGCCTCCCAGCATTACTACCCAACTTTACTACAAATCAAGGCTGAGATGGAAGATGGAATGGCACTCCCTACTAAATCAACCTCTGACCAAGATGTCCTCTCTCCAGATGTGTTAGTGTCAGATGATGGTCAACCTGTCAGATTTGCATTTGATGAAAGTGTGTTTCCTGGCTTCTCTTGGAGAGGATATGCAACCATGTCTGATATTCAGGTACTGTAAGAGTTGTTATTTAATGCTGAGATTACAAGATTAAGCCCTTCATTATTCACTCCGATGAAGGGCTAATGCTTGAAATGTCAGCTTTAGAAAATCTTCACAGAGATCATTTTACTTTATCAACTAAGTTGATAAAAACCAAGTTATCTTGCAGTACCTACTGATGCAGCACTATTAACAATAGTTTTTCAGAAAGTTACCCCTTTATTTATGTGATATTAATGGTTCAGTTGTTTTACTTGTACTGTATTAACAAAGTTGATGTTGTAAACAAATTTAAACCTTTTGAAAGAATTCTATGAATACAAGGTGTTGAGCTGTGAGGGTTTATTTCAGATGCCAAAACATAAGAGTTCTCTCAACATTCATGTTACACTTTCTGTCTTTTGCACAGAGAGCAATAAAAGTAACTCTGGACATACCTAAGACAGCTCGTTACCACATCATATTTTACTCCATCACAAATGGGAGTTCACCTGTTACTGGTGGGGTGACACTGACACCTAAAGGAGGTGAGGGAAGCAAACAAAGCAGCAAAGTCACTTTTCCAGTCAAACAGGTTGGCTCGGCAAATATTGCCACTCATCACACTGTTGGAGTGATGGAAAGGGCCACGCAGTTCATGTTGACCAAAGGGAAGTGGGATATGATTCTGGCTCTTCCTCCAGCAAGTATTCTCTTGGTGAGCGTCTCATAAAAAGAGCTAGAATTTTTTTGTAATATGACAAGTAGTTAGAACCAGCTATGCAGCCCTTAATCCTTTCACTCCTAGAAGAACATGTAACCTTCATTACAATTCCAATATGTTATCTTGCAACCAGGTAATGACAAGAGACAATATTATTAGCAGAGGGTGTCATCTTTACTTAAATCCAACTTCACCTGACTAAATTATAAGAAATGTATGGCAATCTGTTAGGAGTCTTAGGAGTTACAGATTTAATAGCCCTTTAACTCCCAAGATCTGATTCTTAGTTCTCCCCTCTAGCTGCTACACATTTCCTTATTAATTGGTTAGGAGAATTTAGTGTTCAATCATGGTAACAACTTCCACCTGACAAGTTTGAGAATTCTCATTACCTGTTTGCTAGATAATGTATGGATATTAAAGGGAGAAGTTGCACTTTAATCACTTCTGGGAGTTAATGGGTTTTAAACTTCACATAGATATAATTATGGTATGGGTCTCCTGCATTTCCAGAGTCATGTTGACATTATGTACAAGTGCAGCCTAGTTAACACCATGGTGGATCGCACTTATTGATTATCTTCTAACTGGTTATTCTTCTTGGAGGAATGTGACCGTCTTACAAGGGTTTTTCATAACTTGAAATACCCTAAGCCACTGGTTGAAACTACAATCAAGCGGTTCGTTGAGAGACGGATTTCATCTCAAGAGCCCTGCCCATCACCTGATGTACCATCAGAGACTGGGAGAGTAGTGTTACCCTTCAAGGACCAGTCTTCAGCCAGTTATGTTAAAGAACAACTGAACAACCTAAGTTCCAAGTTGAACATCACTGTCGAACCAGTGTTTGTAAGCCCTAAGCTCGAGCAACAACTTAAGCGACACAAGATTAAGCCCCCTATTGTCAGCCTACAATTAATGTCTCATCTATGAATTTTAATGTAACCTGTGTGATGCAGGGTATGTGGGTTATACGTGTGGTCACTTACACAAGTGCATAGAAGGGCACACTAGAAAATCATCTTCGATTTACAAACATTATAAGCTCCAACACAATATTTAAATGCCTGAATGCTTCACTGAGCGATTTCACACCATCACGAAATGTAGCGGCAAATTTGATTGCCTCATTAGTAAAAGAAATGTTATACATTATGCTTATCTTGTGCCTTTCCTTAGTTGCATGCTAGTTAACTGGTCTCTTGATAATGGAGTCATAATGATTTCGAAACGTCAAGCAGCAATAAATCTTTCCTGGTTTTGTATATTTGCATTTGGTGAATGTTTGCTTATGCATCTGATGTAATCCTATGTAGCTGTAAATATTTGTTATATCAGTTTTGTTTCATTTTTATAAAACAGAGAAAAATTGTGATTGATTTTGCTTGTGAAATTAGGGCTAGCATTTACAACTAAACTGTAATATTTATTTTTTTCCAAACTGTTCTTTTCACATTTCCAGTCTTATGACAAGGGGAATAATTCCCCTTTTATTATCAGGTTTTTAAAGTGGTGTTCATTTCCTTTACTCTCATGACCTTTATATTTGATTCAAGGGGAATATTGTAAGGAGAAATAAGAATGCAGCCCCTCATAAGGGTTAAAGGGTCAAAAGGGTAATACTTTTTGGTTGCATTTTATTATTTTATGCTTAGTAACAACCAAACATCTAAGGAAGTGTCAGCCCTATTTCTAAAGTGTAAAGTCTCTAACGACCACAATATTGTCTCTATTTCAGGATTATGTAGTAGCTCTGCCTCAAGTCTACTATGAAGCATACCAACTAGAAGAGAAAGTCAACAAACCTTGCCAAGTAAATGGTATTAATACTTTGTGTAACCAGTTCTCGTATCTGAGTACAAAAGGACCCAGCTTCTTCACATCGGAATTGGAAACAGGATACATTGTTACCAGTAATGGAGTGAGATCAACCCAGCTGTTTAGAGATGAACAAGTCCTGCAGCAGTTGGATTTCAGTGCCATGGCTAATCTCGATAACCAACAGGTCAGATTACTACTATTTAATGTATATTTTTATATTAAACATTTTGAATCATATCAGTTTCTGAGGAACTGTACACCTACAGTATGTTGTGCCCCTCTCCTGACCCAGCAATAATCAACTGATAACAAAATTGGGGTTGGAGTTGTGTTAGGGAAGGGGTAGGTGCACAGCTGCTCAGATAATGACTTTCAACCAAGATTTCTTCAATTGTTTAATGTCCCGGCCCAGGTTGTTTAAAAGGTGGACATTACTATCCACTGGATAAATCCCTGTCCAGTGGATAGGGCATTTTGTTACCACCTATCCCTGCATAGTGATTTATCTGTTGGAAAGTATTATGTGCCCTTTGAACAACCGAGCCTTGGTGTAGATTTATTCTGCCAAAAATTGTATTTAGGATAGAGTTGACAAATTTTCATTGATGTAGGTGGAGAGAGAAGGGAAAAAGGGTATCTTGATGATATGATGTCAAGACAGCATGATATGATGTTAATACCGCCTCCCAGTTAGCTCAATGGATAGAGCACTGGACGGTTGTAGGGGAGGTGGAGGGTTCAAGCCCCGGCCGGACCAACACTCAGGGTCTTAAATGATTGAGAAGAATATGCTGCCTTTTTATAACATCAAGAAATGGTTAGATATTCTAGTCTTCTCGGATAGGGACGAATAAATGGAGGTCCCATCTCCTGCAGGGTTAGGGGCAGGAGACATTAATTTCCCACTCACGAGATTACTGTGTGATGGATGTCCTCCCCTTGGGTGGGATGGGTGGTTAACAGGACCCCCGTTGATACCAGTGTTTACTACACTGAAGGGGCTATCCTGTATAAATATAGATGTCTACTCTACTCTACTACTCTACTCTACAGCACTTGTTTACCTGGTGCAAAATGGAACTCTTACTGTCAATGAACAGACTGTCATTCTTGTATTTCACACAGACCCGTGTTACAGCAGAATTTGGCATCTCAAAAATTGGTAAATATGTCTTAGTTCTACAGTATTACTATCCTAACAACAAGAAGACCAAGTTAAATGTTTACTTGAGGTATCAAAGAGGATCACAGAGAGGAGAGTTCAACCTTCAGAAGTGTAACTACAGGTTTGGCTGCCGTCAGGTAGCTGTGGATAGAACTGGAGCTGTCAAGGTGTTTGATGTTGCCGACCTGAAGAGAAAGGTGGTTACCCTTTTGGCAAGAGATACATCTTCACCTATTGCTGTGGTATGTATGTCAGTCATTAAATTGTGCTTGTCAGGCATTAAATTGTCCCCAGCTGGACCAACACTCAGGGTCTTAAAATAATTGAGAAGAATTTGCTGCCCTTCTATAATATCAAGAAATGGTTAGATATTCTAGTCTTCTCGGATAGGGACGAATAAATGGAGGTCCCGTCTCCTGCAGGGTTGGGGTAGGAGACGTTAATTTCCCACACACGAGATTACTGTGTGATGGATGTCCTCCCCTGGGTGGGATGGGTGGGTTTACAGAGGGCCATGTGTTAGAAAACTCTTTACTGGGTTAATCATGTATTTACCCTCTTGAAATAAAGAACATTGTATTGTATTGTATTGTATTGTTTTGCTTAACTCATCAACTCCTAAGATCTGATTGTTAATTCTCCTCTTTAGCTGCCACAAATTTCCTTGTACATTTGTTGTGAGAATTTGGTGTCAGATCAGGATAACAACTTCTATCTGATCATTAACTGTTTGCTGGATAATGTATAAATATTACAAGGAGAAGTTATTTGTTAATCACGTCTAGGTGTTGATGTTTTCATACAGGGGTAATGCAATAATGAAAGGAAAAATCACACCTAGTGACTAAATATTGACTTAAAAATAAGCCAAATTATATGGAAACACCTTTTAGGAAATTACAAGTTTTGTTAATTTTTTTTCATGAAAAGTGATGGTATGTGTATGTCTTAAATAATGTGTTCTGGGTTATGATGGGTCATACCATCAAAAAAATAAATAAATGAAAGGCAGTCGAGGACTGCATGGGCTTCTACTGTAATATATTTTAGTACTGTAGAGGGAATGGGTCAGAGCAAATTACAGAAGAAATTAGTGACCAACGGCAACAAATGTGGAAGGTTTCAGGAGGCTGCTACTTATATAGATAATTATTCATTACTATATAGCTTCTGTTTAACTATGTATTTTGACCATTACTTGAATCATATCAATACTCATGTCTTTTCTTCAGCCAAAAGGACTTAATTGAAACCTTCTTGAATGAAGAACTGCCATAGTTCAGTCTTGAAGGGACAGCTATTCAAAATATTTTAAATTTGGTGATCCAAAAAACATAAAAAACGTTTTTTCTTTTACTGAAAATGGACCGCAACTGGGGTGATGAAGACTATGTGTTTTCATTTTTATCATTTTAGTATTATTAGCTATATTGTGGCTATTACAGTGCATCTAATCCAAATGAGGCTAACCTATTAAAATTTTCTACACATAGTTGTCAGTCAACATATGTTTTGCAAACAATATTAACATTCAAATTACATCTGACTTGGTGTGTACTATCTTAAGTAATCAATTAGCGACAAAGATGGAAGAATTCTGCTGCAGTTTAGTCATTCAAAGCTGGTTAAACATTTGTCGAAAATATGCTTAGGTGGCCTTGGTTGGTGTAAATGTGCTGTAAATTTCAGTGTGCTCAATCTTTAGAAATCACTGCAATTAAAAAAGATATGCAAGACAATATATTTCGGAAGGATACCCTTTGAGTGCCTAAGCACTTGTTTAGTATCCCGAAGGATAGGTTTTGAGTGCCGAAACACTAGTTTTGTATCCTGAAGGATAGTTCTAGAGTGCCAAAGCACTAATTGAATATCACAAAGGATTTGTGTTGCAAAACAAAGCCCTCTTGGAGTCTTCTTAAGCCAAAGGAAATTTTGATGATGCAACATGAACTACAAATGATCGACGAAACAATTTTAAACAATTCATGTCAGTGGGTTTTCTGTAACGAAATCTGGACAAATTGCTATCAAAACACCTTGGAAAACTTCCAAACACAAAAGCTTGGTAGATTTTATAAAGAATATTGTTGGTTACAGAAGCAAAATAGTGCTAAAACATTGTACCAACTTACCTATCAAATCCTGTTGCGAGAAACCAAAGCACATGGGCAAGGCTGTCATAACGTTCACTGTTGATTTATGATCGGCAAATACTTGAGAAGTCAATAAAAATTTTCAAGAGTCAGACCATTGGCAACTTTCAAATTGACGTGTTTTTGGATGAGAAAGCAAGGTTTGCAGAAGAGACTGGTACTGGAAAGGATAATAAGGGAAGTACTGGAAATGATAGGACTTACATTACATTATATTACAAACCATGACATAAGGCTTCAACCTCCTGAGAAGCCAGAAGCCCAAAAAAACAAATGTTTGTGGTGTTTTTCCTTGGGACTCTAAATATTTGTGTCCCAAATCAATTCCATTAAAACCTTTCAGCAATTAATAAGATGTTATAGATACAGATGTTGGGTTAATTACCTTTCTCCAAGGTAACCAACTCTTTTTTACAAAAGTATATGAATTCTTTTGACTGTAACATCAGTATCTATATTCTCATTACTGTTCTCTGTACATTTCTTTTAGTACTGCATGACAAAAACATTTCCTCTTTAATAGTACGCAAAGTTATAAAAGTGTGGTATCACAACATATGGTGTACGTACAACATTTTCTAAGTAACCACGCCTATAACTGTCCCAGAGTTCCTTGCATATATAACGTGGCCTGAGTGCGGCCTGCGATACTACATTCCCCCCAGGCAATATAGCCAAAAAAACTTGCATAAACTTGACTGGCGATAGTCTGACACGAAATGCGGAAATAAAGATAAGTAACTAAAATAACAACGTAACTTCAAGATCATCTGATTAACTATTGGTTGTTCACAGAATCCTGTCTGGTATTTTATGGTCTGGGTATTTGCTGCTGAGATATTTGTCATTGCTCCGACGGGGCCTTTCAGTGTGAGCAGTGGCACCCACACTCGAGGGTGCCTCTTCTACATTTTCCGTTGTCGGCTTCACTCTGTCCGGTGTATACGATAGTCCCTCCCCAGGGGACAGCACCTCCTCCAGTCGTTCCTGTGGTTTGGGCAGTTCCTCCACCTGGGGTTCTTCACTTGGCTTGCGACCGAAACCGGGCTCCAGCTGTGATCTGCCCACCTCGTCCAGAGTGTGATAGGGTACTTTCTTGAAATCTGCTGCCGATCTTGTAATGGTGCTGCCATCTCTCCTTTTCGCCACCATCTGTGTTCCTTTTCTGTGCTGTACTTCCAGTGGCTCTCCCTCATATGGCAGTGAGGCTTTGCTGCTGAGATCTTGTTTCACCAGCACTGAATCCCCAACCTGTATATCCGAAGTTTTCAAGTTCCTCTTCCTGTCTGCATATGCCTTCATTTACATCTTCTCTAGTTTGCGCTGAAACAACTCCTTGAAATCCATTTGCTGCAGGATGACCCCTACCGGCAACCTTAGGAAGAACCTACGGCCAGGGAACATCAGTTCTGCTGGGGCTAGCTTGGTGGTCCTATGTGGCGTTGCTTGATAGCAGCGTGGGAAATGGTGCACTTCCTGCCTGAAGACCTGCCCAGTTAGTTCACATAATTTATGAGGTATAGTTTCTTGAGCACCTGCATAAACTGTTCCGCTTCATCGTTGGCCTGAGGATTCTTGGGTGTCTTGTGCTCATGGGTGAAGCCCAGATATGTGCTGAAGTTTCGGAACTCCTGTCCATTGAATGGGGTTCCATTGTCACTGCCCACAATCAGAGGTATTCCCAGTGAAGAGAATAAATGGTCCAGTTTGGGTACCACTGCTTGGGGGCTGGTGGTACTCACAAACTCTACTTCAACCCACTACGAGTGTTTGCATATGACAAGGAGAAGGTATTCACTGGTGCTAATAGTTCCCCAGAAGTCTATGGCCACTTCCTTCCAGTGTTCCTTCGGCTCTGCTTGCTGCTCTGATACCGCGAAGTACCCCCTTGCTATCACACTCTTAAGATCTTTGAGTTCCAGGTCCTGACTTGTCCCCTCTAGCAGCTCATCCCATGATACCATGTTTGGCAGTGCTGCTTGCACCACTGCTCTGATGTCCTTCTCAAACATGTCTTTGTTTTCACGAACTGTGAACTTTGCCTGGTGTACTGCCCTGGGGTCCAGCATCGTGAGAGGTTCTGGGTGCCTGGATTTGTAATCGGCCTCATTCATTTCTGCCTTTGCTTTCTTTCCCGGTGCATAGTTGAGCTTGTAATCAAAACCCCTGCAGGCGAACTCTCATCCGTTTAATTCTGAGTGGTGCAGTGACTTTGTGACTAGCAATCAGGGGCAGTAGTGGTTTGTGGTCAGTGTCCACCTCAAATGTGTCTCTGAGGCCATATAAGTAGATCTGATTTGTGGGCATGCCCCATTCCACAGCTTTAGCTTCCTTCTCCAGCTGTGAGTATCGGGTTTCAGTATTCGTCAAAGCCGTAGACCCATAAGTTACAGGTCTCCACTACTTGGCTTGTGGGTCATACTGCTTCAGGGTAACCACTAAACCATGGGGTCCCGTGTCTGTCACGAGTTTGGTCTTTCGATGTGGGTTGAAGTACACCATTACAGTGTGTCCTGATAGCAGCGTTTTGGTTTGCTGAAATGCTCTCTGACACTCAGGTGTCCACTGGAAGGGGGCCCCTTGTTTAATGAGGTTTCTTAGTGGTGCGGTGACCTGCAAAACCCTCCATGAAGTCTGCACTAGCTCCAGTGAAGAAAAGGAACATTTGCACTTCTGCTTGAGATTGGGGTGGGCCAGTTGCCTGCAATGCCACCACCTTGTTACCACAATTGCCTGCAATTACCTGCAATTGCCACCACCTTGGTGAGACTTCTTCACTGGAAAATACTTTGCCAAAAATAGTCACAGTGTGAGGGTTGAACCTGCTCTTCTTCATGTTTAGGGTCAGTCTGTGGCTCTGCCACAGTTGTAGGATGTGTCTTACCACCCGCTCCTGTTCCTCCAGTGTGGCGCCAAAAAGCAAGATGTCATCATAGATACTGATGGCATTAGGTTCCAGGGAGACGACTTTTCGGACCTCCTCATTGAAGATTTCCGCTGCACTGTTCACTCCAAAGTATAGTCCCTTGAACCTTTTGAGTCCGCAATGTGTGTAAAACGTTGTCAGCTTTCTGCTCTCTTCTGCTAACTCCAGCTGCATGTAGCCATCATTCATATCCAGGTGTGAAAACAACTTGGCCCCATTCAGCCTGGTTTCCAGCTCCCTTAGAGTGGGTTTGGTGTGCCTTGCTCTCTTGATGTACTTGTTAACATCCGTCATGTCAAGACTGGCCCTGAGGCTTTCACCGTCCTTCTTCGGAGTGAGGACCACATTACTACACCAATTTGTCGGTTTGTCTCCTACATCCTCTATGATGTCTAGTGCATGCCACCGGTCCAGGATTTTATCAAACTTCTCTTTCAGAGGTATGGATATTCGTCTCTGTTTCTGAATAGCGCCTGGGGCCTTGGGTACAACGTGTAGTTTTATAGTCACTCCTTTCAGCTTTCCAATACTAGTAAAGACATCCTCATACTCAGATATCGGGGTGTGTATCTCTTGTCGTTCCACCTCCATTACTTGGGCAGGAGCTTGTGTTGTTTGTTCAGTGTGGTACTCGATGAGGCCCATATTTTCGGCTGCCTGGTGACTTAAAAGAGCAGTGTTCCCTTGACCTTTGACTACCTATACAACTTCTACAATGTTCTTTTGGTTTCAGCGAAGAGATGCATTGAAAGAGCCTAATAACAGTAATGCCGGTCCTGGTCCATCCCCTGAGTAGCTCCGGATGATCGCTTTCATTGGTTGCAGGCTGCTTGTTTCTTTAAGGCCTTCAAAATGCTTCTCAGTGATGACCATGAAGTCTGCTTGGGTGACAAGATGTAGGGTGATAGGGACTTTGTTTACCTGTAGCGTTACAGTAGGGTTCGAGGACTTTTCTCCGGTTACTCGGTACGGGTAGACCTCTTCATTTGTCTCACTTTCGTCCTCTGGTTGTCTTGTGGTTGTGTCCAGTTCTCTCAGCAATCATCTTTCATTGGTCCTATCCAAGCACTTCGTCTTGGCAACAACAATATAGAGTGGACAATCTTGGAAAGACTCCTCGGAGCACAAGTCGATAACAAGTTATCTTGGTCAGATCATGCCGCAAATGTAGCAAAGTCCTTCACGTCCAAGCTAAGTTTACTCTGGCGCATGCGGTTTCTCCCTGGAAAACAAGTAGAAGACTTCTACACAAAGGTGATACTGCCATCAGTCGCATACGGTTTGATAGTGTCGGGATCGTGCAGCAAAACGCATTTAAACAACCTGGAGAAACTCCATGCAAGGGCTGGGAGAATTGTTTATGGATTGCCATGGGATACAAGCGCTGAAGATGTTTTAACACGAACTGGATGGGATGGTCTGGAAACAATGTACAAAGTGCGACTAACAGAGTTTGTCTTCAAATGTACGAAGGGTTTCACTGTTACGGAATTCGAAAAACTTTTTACACAATGGAAATCAGGCCGCAGAAGAAAGGATGACATTATTCTTCCCAGACCTGAAACAAACTTTATCAGGAACTCCATAAGTTATAGAGGAGCAATTGCATGGAATAGTTTAATGAACAAGGAAACAACGGCTAAAACCTTGAAAGATTTTAAATGCTGTCTTCGGAAATTCAACACAGATAAAATAAATTTTGAACCGATCTTAGCCATAACTAAAAACAGAGATACCGACTATAAATATTTCTGATAGGTCTTAGCTTTTAAGTCTTAATTCTAAATTGTACATATGTTTAAGTATTTTATTTTTTCATAACTATTGTTTGCATGACCCCACCAGCAATGCTAATTTTACTTGTCGTGCTAAAATAAAGTTCTCACTCACTCTCTCTATGGCTCTGACTTGCCTACTGAGACAATTCAGTTGTCTGCTGGGACACACCCTAGCAAAATGGTTGCCCCTTCTGCACTTGAGGCTGTTCTTACCCCAAGCAGGGCAAGTAGTTCCCTTTGGGTGTGCTTCACTTCCGCATCCAGTGCAACATACCTTGGTTGTTGGTCTACCTGAACTGTGGTCAGACCTGTTATTCCTCATACTGTACCGTCTTGGCCGGGTGATCTTGTTCATCTCGTGACTGTCCTTTGAACTCTGCTGGTCACCTCCACGGGCCGTACAATCATCACCTGCCATCGTCTTGCTTCCCTGATTCGCCATTTCAAATGCCTTTGCGGTTACACGCACTGACTTTAAATCCCCATTCTTTTGGATCAATTCGTTGCATAGCTCTCCATTTCTTGTTCTGATCACAGCCAGCATGATGATAGTGTTTTCTATGGTAATCAGAAACTTGCAGTGTAGCCCCTGTTCTCTGCATTTTGTCTCAAAGTCTGTAAACGGTACCTTGCTGGGCCAGTCGATGTTGAAGAACTTGTATAACTCTAAGGTGTTGTTTTGGTGTGTCTTAAAATAGTTTTTTAGCTCTTGAATATGTGACTCATAATTCATGGGCTGCTCCAGAAGTGTTTCGATTAATTTCTGAAGTTCTTCTCCACCCACTAACAGGAACAGGTCGAGCTTATCCATGCCACTTACTGCCATCCATCGTATCACCTGCTTCAACCAATCTCACCACAGCTTCCATGCTTTCTTGCATTGACCCTGTTCTCCTTTCAGGTCTATGATGCCCATGTTTGCCTTAACACTTGCCAAAACTCCTGCTTTACCTCTGTTTGTGTTGTTTTCTTCTTGTCCGCATTCGTCTGGCATTGTATCCCTTTCCTCGTTGCCAATTTAATAGAACAAAACTTTTAAAAGTGTGGTATCACAGCGTATCATGTACATACAACATGTTTTAAGTAACTGCGCCTATAACTGTCCCAGAGTTTCTTGCATATATAATGTGGCCTGAGTGCGGCCCGCGATACTACATCTTCAACAATCAAATTAAGTTTCCTGGCTTGGCAATAATTTCTTTTATTTTCATGATCTTGATGGATGATTATGCATTATTACTGTAAAGTGATATTTGATGCTGGTCACTCTTAGGGTTTAAGGTTCTGTAAATTAATTTAAATTCTCTTTACCAAAGTTGTTTATTGGTCGTAGGATTCTGTCACTGCCATTCCACTGGATGCATGGGATCTGGATTTCATTGCTCCAAGCATTCTTTGTACAACTCAAGGCAATGTTTGTATCCCCACATCATACCCCAATCCCAAAGGAGCTATTACAATTGAGGTTCCAGATGCAAGTGATCCTGATCAACCACAGCCTCCAAACAAACAGGATCCAACAACAAAACTACTATACTTGCGTGAAGGGGTAAGTGTGGTTACTTTACTTTCATGTGTATGCTCATTATTTAGAATCAAAGGTCTTGTTATTTAACTCTTCTGCTCCCTAAATCTCATTAGTAATTACTGTTTGTATCTGCCATATAATTCCTATGATGTTAGTTTTGAGGATTTGGTGTTGGATCAACTGATAATCTTGATTGTGTGAATTGAAAGTCTAGCCAGATGAAGAATAGATTAGAATAATGTACAAAATTTTCTAAGTAAAAGTGTGTTTGTCAAAAAATAAAAACCAGCAGGGCAATTATACTCATGCTTTGATTCTTGGTACCACAATATAAACTTGTTTTCTTGTGTTTGTTTTATTGAAGATCCATTCCCTGTCGAAAGAAGGGCTTAAAGAAGGGCAGTACGCAGCCATTGTTCACTATTATCAGCCAAAGCATTCTTCATTTGAGTCAGAAGTGAAAGTCACCAGTGACCGTGCTGTAGAAGGGTCCATCAAATTCCATTACTGTCCTCATGCATCAGGCTGCAGATCAGTTATCAAGAACTTAGCTGGTTCACCGTTCTTTGATATTGAACGAAAAACTGTTGCACTGGAGTTTGAGATTCCAATGAACTCGTCGACATGGATAGTAAGTTTTCAAACTGTATGTATGCCTGTGAGGTTATTATTGGATTTTTGTATCACAGGTAAAACTCCGGAATCTTGAAGCAAATTAAAACCTCCACAAATGAAATTTTTTTTCAGTGGTAATCACCGTAATACTTTCTTGCTTTCATGCAGTGTTTTCCATATGGGCCACAAGCAAGGACTATCATGTTACCATAATTTTCCAGCTAACTAGAATTTAAGAGACCTAAGTAGAAATGTCAGAGACAAGCAAAGTCACATGTTTAACTAAGCTAAAAAAAAAAAAAGATTTCATTTTCTTCTTTTTCTTACAGGACTATGTCCTGCTTGTACCTCAAAATGTGTTCACTGAGGACCTGCAGGAGGATGCCCCAGTGCCTTTGTCTCAAGCTTTCCTTGATTCGTGCAGCAAAGATGACTTCTTCATTAAAACCACAGATCCAAAGTTTTGTAAAGATTCAGTGTTTTCACTCACAACAAGCTTCAATAATGGAAGTCTTCCTTGTGACTGTAATCTCAAGGGATCTGTTGACAACAACTGTGAAACATTTGGTGGACAGTGCCGTTGTCGTCAGAATGTAATTGGGAGAACCTGCAATAGGTGTAAGACAGGGTATTATGGCTTCCCTGAATGTAGAAGTGAGTGGAAAGTATTTTATTGAATGTATTCTTCATTGTTGAAATATATATACATACCAGTTGTGGAAAAGGCTTGTGACCTGGGCAAGTGCCCCCTAATTTGAGAGAACTTGTGCAAATTTACACCAACATTTTTCTAATTTCAGTAGTAAAAGGTGCCAGTAGTTTTCAGAACTAACGAATAAACCTCCTCCACCATCCAGTCTTTTTGAAAAGCTAGACCTAAGCTAGCTATGCTTGAGTAGTTCTTGTTTTAGAATCTTGGTTAAAACTTGATCAATAATAAATATTTCATTAAATTGTTGCCACATGTAGACTAAAATCTGCTTTATTTTGAAATTTAAGGGTGCCGTTGTGTTTACTGCAATGAGATCACTGGGGCCTGTGATTGTCCAAAAAATACTGTTGGTCCGAATTGTGAATTCTGCCTGCAAGGAACTTGCTGTTACGACCCCATCCTTGGTTGTGAGGACTGTGGCTGTGAGAGGTTTGGTGTGGTTGGTAACAATATAGCATGCAATCCTAACACAGGGCAGTGTAATTGTAAACCATCTCACACTGGGAAGAAATGTAAAAAGTGTGCTGTTGGATATTATAACTATCCTTTGTGCCAAAAATGCGAAACTTGTGATCCCAGAGGAGTTGACAGCAGGATTTGTGACAGTGATAGTGGAACATGCTTCTGTAAGGTGAGCTCTCAGAAATGTTGTATGAATCATCAGTAAGGTATGCCCCTTGGAGTGTGCTCCCTAGGAAAAGAGTGGGGTTGTTCTTCTACATTTTATGAGGTAAATTTGAGGGAGAGGATAGGCATTGTTTGGCTGCTATAACTTAACATAAACATTGCTAGGGTTGGTAAAGACTGTAATTGGCTGTCAAGGTCATCCATTGGATAAGCGAGGGGAATGCCCTTGTGACTGTATTTGTTATGCCAAGAACTTATCATAAGTTAGCTAATTAGTGGAATACTTTCTCAAGGCACTTTTATCAAATACCATAGACTGGTGTCATTATTATTTCTCATAGGTTGCCTTTGCAGAGTATTATGAATTAAGGGCTCTTTGGTTGACTTTTGTTTTGGTAGCCTGGAGTCACTGGTCCACGCTGTGATAAATGTGCAGCTGGACATTTCAATCTAGATGCTAACAATCCAGATGGCTGCTCTGAGTGCTGGTGTAATGGCTTGTCTAAAGTTTGTGATAGCGGCAATATGTACTGGTAAGAATTATACACATACAAGCAACTTGAGCCAAATGGTCCACATGTTCAGCATATCAGGGTATCTTTCACAAAGGAACAATATGATGTATTGGTACTTTCCCTTCTGGAGAGGATGCTGGTCCATTGCCGGTTATCACCCCCCTCCCCCCCTTCAACCCGAGCATTTCCTGGACAGATTAGTTGCCTAGACCTAGTTGAACTCTTGAGTGGAGAGAAGCAGTGTGTTAGTGAGGAGTCTCAAGACACATGACACAGTCACCTCGCCAGGTTTTATAGCTCTTCTTAACCCAGCATCCAGCCCATTAACCCTTTGTCACATTGTTTATATACCAAACCAATGATGGTGGGTGCTTTTAGAACTAAAAGACAGCATTCAAACACAGTACTACTTAAATTTGAACTTGCACCTTGATGAAAACCTTTTTGAATTAACATGCAAATTATATACTGATAAATTAAAATATGATGCTGTTTCAATGAAAACGTACTTGGATGACATGCAGTTTTATTTTCTTTAAAGGTCCAAAATTAATACCATGGATAACTGGAAATTAGAGAACAGTCCAGCTATTGTGGTTAAAATTGCTGAAACTGAACTCTCTGCCTCAGTAAGCAGCCAAAGAGATGAAAAAGGCCAGCCAATCTATTGGGTAGCACCCTTGGAATATCTTGGGCAAAAGGTACATGAGGCTGTAACATCTTAGTTGCTTTATCTGAAAAGGAGCAGATCTTTGGCATTTGATACACAGCACAATCATATTTTACGCTGATGCAAAGAATGTTCCTTAACAGTCAAGTTCATTTTCTTGTATAATTATTCACAATACTGAATTTCATTTCTGAGATCATGGTTATCTAGTTTATTGTGATGCATTCCAATCTCTATTACAGTTTGAAATTAAGTAATGTGCCCTGTAAGGTAAGTTCATTTGAGCAAGTATTTGTAAACCAACTCATTTGTTGTCTGTCTTAGATTTCATCTTATGGAGGCAAACTTAATTATACAATCAGTTATGAAGTACCACAAGGAGAAAGTTCACCAGTATTGACTACTAAACCTGACGTTGTATTAGAGGTATGTTGTTCACTGGTTGTATTTTAAAGTCAGAACACAAGCTTGACCTAAGGCTTGCCCTCTTTGAACTTACCTCAGTGTCAGTTCTCTCTATAAGTTATGAGAATTTAAAGTTAGATCAAGATAACAACTTCAACCTGAAAAGTTTTAGATATTGTATGGATGTCATAGGGAGGAGTTAAATGTTAATCGCATCTAGGAGTTAAAGGGTTAACAGTTTGCAAGTTTCTGATACAAATCTCCTGAGTCCATTAATATTCCAGGATAGAGATAAAGTGTCTTATGTGCTCAAAAAACATAATGTAGCGACTGTGAAGGAGGTTTCACTGGAATCCAGTGATCTGTTTGTTACACATTATAGTTATTATATCTCATATGTTAATTCTGATTGATGTTAATTTACAATCTGCTCCATACCTGAATAGTATGGATAGAACTCAGTGTAATTGAATTTAACCATAACTGAAAATGAAATATTTTTTATTTGAGACTGTTCATATGTGTACATATTTTTTGGGTGGAAAAATTATTTTTTACGACAATTCCCTCAAGCCATCATTTTCATTTAAATTTTAACACCAAGTAAGTCTTCATTTTGAAACCCAAACTATTCATTAAAATGTTGAAAGCAATAATCTTTTTCTGCAGGGTAAAAATGGCAAATTGCTCCTGTACAAAAAACAGTTGGAACTTTCTCCAGGACACACATCAGCTGTTGAGGCACAGTTCTTGGAGGTGAGTGTCAACACCCTGTGGCAATTGGTGGTCAAAGATGCAGAATCATTGTGTGGTTATTGATTTATCAGCTTTTGTAGGCAACCTAAAATTAAGTGAATTGGAATCTGGTCAAATTTCGTTTTGTCTCTAAATTTAATTTAGCCTTATCCTCATTTATGGTTAACCTAGGTTTGGAACACAAAGGTGATGCCTTGGGAAGGCAAGGTTCCACTTGAAATCAATGTCAGTATCTGAGCAACTGTGTACTTAATCTTCCCCCCCCCCTAACTCAGCAACAGTCAATTGAGGACAAATTAGAGTCAGTGTTGGTTTAGGGGAGGGGTGTGTGCAGTTGCTCAGATGAATGACATTGATCTGACATTGTTATATTTCAAAGAATCCTGTCTGGAGTAATTTAAAATTTTTCCATTTGCTACCTCTGTGGGTATATAATTATAGTTGCCATTCCAATATAATGCTGGCTTCAGCTGATTTTTGTAACTTATACGGTAGTATCTTTGGGAGGATGCCAGTGGATCCAATGTAAGCAGAGATGACTTCATGTCAGTTTTTTATGATATAAAATCACTGAAGCTGAGGGCCTCATACAGTACAGTAGTTGCGGAAGTCAGGCTCAGTGATGTTGAAATGGATGTGGCAGTGGATGAGCCTGTTGATGGAGCAGTGAGAGCAAAGAGTGTAGAAAGGTGTGAATGTCCAGAAAAAGCTACAGGAGATTCCTGTGAGGTGAGATACAAAGTCATAAGCACAGTTATGCAAATAATGTACTTAAAAAAAAAGATACCAATTTTTTTTTTTTTATCAAGAGCATTACTTGACTGCACTCTCTTTCAGTTACTCATGCAGACACCATGTTGAATTAAGATGGAAACTGTTAATTAAGATGGAAACCCAATGGCTGCTTCTACCCAGGAAATCAACAAGTCCAGATTTAAATCTTTCCCTCAATTTTTTGGTGTGTTGGGAGAGGGGTCTTAGAAATGTGTCATATTTTGCATTATTCATACTACCAGCTTTGTTTAAATTTTGGTAAAATCACAGTAATACATTCTCATGAACTAAGGCGCAACCATTCTAGATATCAACTAAGTAATCACAGTGATTTGTCTCGTGTTAATTGCTCTGTTGTAATTTGCAGCTTTGTGGAAAAGGCTACACTAGAGCTCCAGATAACACTTCATGTGCAATGTGTAACTGTTTTGGTCACTCAGAGGACTGTGATGGTGAAACAGGGGAATGTTTCAGTTGTCTACATAACACAACAGGTAAGGACTTGAGTCACTGAATCTCTATTGGACATCATTTTACTTAATTTGGACTTAAAATCTATACACAATCAAGGTCCCACAAGACTCAAGTGTCCTGTGTTGTGAAAGTTGATCAATTATCAGGAAATCCCTCATAATATATTTTAACCTACAAATAGTACTGTTTTACCTCTTATGTTTTAGGGCTGAACTGTGAAGTCTGTGAACCTGGTTTCTATGGTGATGCCTCCACAGGCACCCCAGTAGACTGCAATCTATGTGAATGCCCTCTTGGAATATTGTCAAACAGCTTTGCGACTGAATGCTCCCTTAATGTGGACAACGACCTCATTTGTACCTGTAAGGAAGGCTATGTTGGACAGAATTGTGAGAAGTGTGCTAATGGTTTTTTGGGGAACCCTTCTGACCCTGGTGACTTCTGTAAGAGGTGTGGTTGCAGTGGTAATATTGATCACAGTGTCAACGGAAGCTGTGACACTCTGACGGGAGAGTGTCTTAAATGTATTAATGCTGCCACAGGAGACCAGTGTCAACACTGTTTGAATGGTTACTTTGGTGATGCAATTGTTGCAAAGAACTGTGCAAGATGTGCTTGTAGCGATTGTGGCACCGTAACTGCAGTTTGCAATCATACCACTGGGTCTTGCATGTGTAAGCCAAATGTCATTGGGGATAGCTGTGACAGCTGCGAGGTAAATACTCAGTTAATTCTGTAAACCATTCTTGTTTAATCAGTAATTCATAGATCTAGGGAATGAGAAAAATTGTAGTGATTTTTTTACTTATTTTTCAGCCAAATACCTGGAACTTTGACAGCTGTTTGGGTTGTGAAGATTGTGACTGTGCACCAGCATCACTATCAACATCATGCGATGTGAAAACAGGTCAATGTGAATGTCCACAAGGCGTGACCGGAAGAAGGTGCGACAGATGTAAGGCAGGGTACTTTGAATACACAAAGGATGGCTGTCGGGGTAAGTATGTCAGAGTCTCTAATTATAACTTTATTGAGGGTCAAGAAGTGACTAGAAGTTGGTTACATTAAATTTAGTTGCTTCTCTTGAAGCGATGTTGGCTTTTTAACTGAAATATTCTTGACCTTTGAACGTTTGGACTTCCAGTGTATTTATGTGCTTTATACTGTTCTCAAATAAGAGGGCAGAATTGTTGGAAGTATCATTTGACTTTACATGTACATGTATCTCTCTAAACATATGCCATGCTTCATAGCATTTTTAAAATAACTTTAAATGTTTTTTTGAAAGGTTGTTTTATCTCGAGCCTGTGTCTGTGTCTTTGTTTGCATAGACTTTTAACATTGTGTGAAATATTTGCTCCAGCTTGTGCCTGTGATAAGGGAGAAGACAACGTGTATGGCTTTTGTGATGTGAATACTGGTCAGTGTTGTAAGCCAGGAGGGAACTGTACCATTTGTCCTGTGAACTACATCCTAACCTCAGAGGGCTGTCAATATTGTGGGGAATGTGTTGGACGTCTCCTAAAAACAGCCACTGAGCTGGACCGTAATCTTACCTTGGCTCTCAAGGCTGTAAAACAGGGAACAGCTGGAATTATTGCTGAAGGACAATTTTCAGACCTAAATGAAACTTTGCAAAGGTATTTTAAATGCAAGCTTTATGCTTTTATTTAGCTCAGGCAGGCTTAATGTAAAATGACTAAGATTTTTTTTATTTTAAAGCTGGTAGAAACATCATCAAGACAATGTTGATTCAAAAACACATACTATCTCAAACAGTTGAGCAAGATTAAACATGACCCTACAGTTAGCTACAAGTAATTGCCTTCCTTTCAGCAATATTGTGTCTTTTGAAACTGAGAAATATTTGTTATTTTCCAACGTTGCAGGATAGAACATTTCAGAGAGCAGCAGTACTTAATTATTATCTTGGTGCTTTTTTGCTCATTTGTGATTTCTTTCTATTAGATTAATTCCACCAACTAACGAATATAATTCAACCATGGAAGAACTGTCCCAGGTGGTTGGAATGTCATCAGCAAATGGTAATTAAGAATCACCATATTTAGTGCAATTTTAGGCAACAAGCAGTCCCTACTTTTTGGCAAAGTCTATTGTTTGAGTCGAAAATCAGCTAGAAAAAAAGGTCATTGTGCCGCACTACACAGAACTGTGGGAGTGAGGTGCCTCACTCCCCTACTTTTGTGCTGTGTGCTAGCATTATGTTTTCTTTGGCTGATTTTTATTGACTCGTGCAATGGACTTTGCCTGGAATAATTGTAGCAATTTGAACCCTTGGGTTCGTGATGCCTTCTCGTGTCAGAGAAATACATGAGCAGTTTTTGTTGACAATTTAGTTCAGTAAAAGTTTGCATGTTTCGTTTATCATATTCAGCCATAGAACAGTAACTTGTATCAATTGTTTCTATTTCCAATTTCATGATAGAAATCAAGGTGCCATTAAAATTCTGGAAATTGATGCAGTGCCTCCAAACACATTGAACCATGTTGCTGCTACATATGATGACTATTTGTGGGCAACACTAATTTAAATTGTTTGATCACACATCCATGTTATTTTTAGTTGGTATAGCAAACCAGCTTCCCCCACCCATTCCTATACTCCAATTTTGTTCCTGTTTCTGTTTGCAAAGTGGTTTTGTGAGAGGTTTACAAGAAGCAGTAACACTTATTGATTTTGTGGGCTAATTACCTATTTTATCTGGGTAGCTACAAACACAAGCTCTGGAGGTGTTGATGAGGATAACACTCTTATTAAGAGGACAGACAATGGTGAAGAAATAGCGAATAATGTAGAAACAATGGTAATGATGATAATAGACAAAGCTAAAATGGCTTTGGAAAATTCTACATCTACAAAGGAAGAAGCTCTTGAATTGGAAGAAGAAATTCGTGCCACCCTTTTAAGAACTACTGGTAAGTAGTCTTTGAGGTCCTATTGGTTGCAAACATTTTGTTGCATTTAGGATGTACTAGTTGCCATGAACTGATCAATTGCTGAAACTATAATGTACAGTAAATTAACAGTGGGTATCTATGGGATTTGGAGGTTTTGCCTAATGAAAGTTCCCCCTCCCCCCCTTCCTCTACCATTCTTTGTCCCCTGAGGGAAAACAAGTTTGCTCCCATCTTTACCAGTTTGCCCCTAAAATCTTTCAACTTGTTACTTGACTTCAGGGCCAAAACCTGGATAATTCATTTTAATTTGTCTCAAAAGACATTTGGTAACAGTCATGTTTTTTAATCCATTTGCAAGGTAAAATGACAAAGAAAAAAACTGGAAACTTATCAACTTGTTACCCAATTTCTTTTTATTTTGCATTTTAACTTATCTTATTTATTTTTTACCATTTCAGACATCATTGTTATGGCAGAGAAAATAGCTAAAACTTTAAAGAATGAGAAGGCCAACCAAACTTTGTTGTTAGAAAAAGCTGAAGAACTCTTAAAGGAACTCCTGAAAAGAGACTTTGAGTCTGCTAATGCTACAATGGTTGAAGAGGGAGAACTGGTGATAACTGTCATCAACAGAGCAAAGAAATATTTGAATGACACAACAAGTTTATTAAGCAAAGTTATGAGTGCAAACAAAACTCTGGATGAACTCCTAGGTACATTTAGTTCAATTGTGGATGTGTCCAACAGGGTTTTAGAAAACGTCAGCCATGCTTTGGATTTGAACAATATCAGCAAGACTTACGATTCACAGGTAATTTCAAACTTTCACTGATAATGTTGTATTTTATAGTCATATCTCTCAGTTAGTATGTGCACTTTGATTGGTCAATTTAGCAGGCTGTATTTCACTGTACAGCCTGCTAATTGACCAATGGTAAGAGGTATTATGTAGTTTTCTTTTTTTTTTATCAACTTCATAGCCTTCATAGTACTTAAGACTTCAAGAGGTATAAGGGATGTAGGTCGATCAAATTCAACAGCTTGTTGTTGTATTTTCTGTGTGTTTGTTTGGTTGGTTTTTCAAGGATCCTTTGAATTTTATTAATGGTATCTCATAATTTCCAGTTGATTTGAAAAATTAATTTACTTTATCATTGAATTGTTAGCATTGAATAAATGGAGTACTTACTCCGTGTTTACATGTACTTCCTTAAACAAGGGGAGAGTGGAAGAGTGTCAGTCGGACACTTTCAAGAATTCTCCCGACCCCCCTAAGTGTTTAAGTGGTTAAAATGGAAAAAAGTCCTTTATCATTTATAGAAATGTTTCTCTCTAATTAATTCGTGAAACAAAAACATCTTAACCAAGAATTTATTTTTATATAATGTTGTAAGAAGTATAACATATGTTGTTGCTCAGACACCCCTGGAAGAAGCAGTGCATTTAAAGAAAGAAGTTGACACTGCCTTGAATAACCTTGAGGATGCGATACAGACAGCTAAGGATAAAGAACAAAATGCCAGCACTTATTTACAGGTAGAACTAACAGCATTTGCTTTTTGTATGTTCTGTGAAAGGATCTGGTTTATCATAACACCAGACTTACGAGCACCTTTTGAAACTTTTGGAACTGCATTTTTATGAATCCTGCCTTTGTTTTGTCATTTTGTACCCTAAGGCTGTACAGATAAGTGCTTCCTTTATAACAGTATCCAGCATAGAGCTAATTAATGATAATTTTTTGTTACTCTTCCGATATTGTTCATATCTGTGTTGATTGTTTATTCTCCCCTCGAGCTGCTAAACATTTCCTTTTTAATCATTTAAGAGATCAAGATAACCTCTTCCTGATAAGTTTGAGTATTCTCATTGCCTGTTAGCTGGATAATGTATGGATTTTATTAGGAGAATTCACATACTAATCACTTCTGAGATTTTTAAGGATTAAAGATGCCAATGTATGTTAATGCACTTCATTCTCTCTACCACTTCATTATTCATCCAACCATTCTGAACTTTCAAGATTCTTTTAACTTTTTCAGGACTTCAGTGGAAGTTTTCCCCGACTTGATGATCTTATTGAACGAGTTGATGAAAAGATGGCCAATATTTCTCAAATCCTGGATGAGTTGAGTCCTTCAGTTGTTATGGCTCAGAATCATTCGCGAGAACTACGTAATCAGGCTGATGACCTAGAAAAGCTACTGACAGACATTGAGTTCGCAGGCAAAGCTTACAATGCATCAGAAAGATATTCTAACATTGCTGAAGCATTAAAAGAGGCATTGGCCATTGCCCAAGAAGCTGAGAAAATAGCCACAGAAGCCAAAGATGAGGTATGGTCTGTTCTTAAAATAACAGTTCTAAATTGACTGTAAGTTCACATGTCAAATGTTCTATGAAAAACCACTAGTAAGAAATTTGGTAGAATGGCTCATACATTTTTTGGGGGGGGGGGAAGGGGTGGGGTTGTCACTTATGTCGCCTCTTAGTTTGTTTTGTTGTCCATGTGACTTTGGCCTCAAGTTAGTATGTACGCAATGAAGCAAGACTTTTCCAATTGAAGTGGTTGGGGTTGAGCCTTATCTTTCCGTAAGGTGTGACTGGTGAGTATTTGCGTTTGGATTTGAGAAGGAAATGAAGACAAGCAGTGCAGTAGAGACCTGTGAACATGTTCCACAGGCAAGGTACTATTTTTGGCAGACTTTGAAAATTGAACAGAAGTGTTGGTTATACAGAGTTACGAAAAAGGAGGTCTGAATACCTTAATATTTGTTTTTGTGGAGATTAGAAAACAGTTATTATTTATCACCTAGGAAGGGGGGAAGTTTGGAGGACATTAGTGGGATTGCATGGTTTTCAGGGTGAACGGAGGGGGGGGGTTCAATGTGGCTGACAAAGTATAAAGGGGAATCTGTAGAAAATTGGCGACCAATGGGGAGGGGGGTGTCACTCAAATACTAAAGAGCCCTATTAGGGGATATGGTAAATTTCATCGCAACACAACCAAAATCCTCCAATGCCCCCCTCTCCCATGCGATGAACAATAACCCAGTGGTCATTTCTGTTTTAGTTGATGTTAACTGAAGAGCAATTCAATTCTTGTCTTTTCCCTTTTTTTTTAGTCCCAATCTCTCTTCAAAAGAGCAAATAACTCATTGATTGTGAGTGTTTACTTGAATGAGACTGTGTCAAGCACAGAGGATAAAGTGGACAATGAGCTGTTAGACCTACTAAACAATGTCAAGACAAGGCTGGCACTTATCAAAGCTAAAATCAGAAATGTCTCCACTGATCTGCTTGACGTTGACTCCAATTTTCCGAGATTTCAGGAGCTGACAGACCTCATGGGTAAGTTTGGATCGTTTTGATTTTTCAACCAAATTAGAATAACTGAGTACCATTTGTTCTGTTAAATGTTCTTGTTTATGAAAGTACTTTTTGCAGATGATGACTTAACCCTTTAACTCCCAAGACTAGGTTGTTATTTCTCCCCTAAGCTGCTACACATTCCCTTGTTAAAACAGTTACAGAAATTTGGTGTTAGATCAAGATGATAACTTTTACTTGATAAGTTTGAGTATTCTCATTACCTTTTTTCTGGATTATGTATGAAACTTACAGGTAAAAGTTACATGGTTATCATTCGTGAGGTTAGTGAGTTAACGGTCTATTTGTTGCACACCTAAAAAAAGAATGTTTTATGACTCAGATGGGAAAGGACGTAAACTTAAGGAGAATGCAACAGAATCAGAGACCAGAGCAGACAGTGCAAGGAAGAAAGCTGAAAACATTGGGGTACTATGTGTTTGAAATTTGTTTCGATAAAATGTGTAATGTGCTTGTGTAATTAAAACGTATGATGTGAAGACGTTGCCACCAAGTTCAATTGAGTGAAAAGCTGTTTTATAGAAGTTTTATTATTGCACTCATCGAACTATGGAGTGTTGCAAGCATTGAAACTTTCTGAATTTTTGTGACCAGTAAGATTGTCATTTTCATACTTGAGGTAATTGATGTAACTTAAACAAAATGAATTTCTCATTTTGACACTTTGACTCTCTCATTGCCGTAACTATGGCAATTAAACAAAACAATATTTTCTTCCAGGGTCAGGTGAGTGACCTCTCTGGACTGAAGGATTCCATTGTCGCAACAAACAACAACATAACAGAAGCTGAGAAACAAGTCATGAATGGTTTAAATATGTCTTTTGTAATACGAGACAAAGTGTTGACTCAGAAAAAACGACACCAGCAGATTGTTAACAAGTTAGACGCTGAAGTGAAGCGACGTTTAAAAGACATTGAATTTATGATGAATAAGGCACATAACCTGCTCAAATTCACGACACCTGTAATGAAATTCGAGGGAGATACTACAAGTTCACCTTTACTACCTCCTGCTATCAAACAGAAGACAAGGGCTATGAACATTTTGATGTATCTGAACCCAGAGAAGCCTGATGGTCTCCTTATGTTCTTGGGAGATGCCGAGGGCACCAATACTTATCGCCAAAAACGTCAGTCACAGCAATCTGACTGCCGAACGGATTACATAGCTGTGCTGCTGAAGGAAAGGAAACCGCGTCTGCAGATATGTACTGCCGCTAAGAGAATTGTTGAGGTTGGGGTGAAAGACAAGGAGAATAATGATTTCTTGATGCAGACTGATGGCAAAGTTTGGTATAAGCTTGAAGCTGGCGTGTAAGTTTCATTGGTGTAATATTGTGTTATTTGTAATAATATGCTGATCATGGCTGTTAAAAGAGTGAGATGGAGAACAGAACAGTTATTGATTTTTTTTTAAACCTTAAAGTGTTTTGAGGTGGATTTGAATGAAGGTTTTCAAGATCAAGTACGAGTTTATTTACCAATATAAACTTAACAAAAATAGATTTGATATTAATGAATAGAGTTTATGTACGCGGGAATAAATATGTTTCAGGCACGAATCAGAGACATTTTAGCCCAACTCGCTAGGCAAGGGTTAAACTGACTCTGAGAAAGGCCCAGTACATATTTATGTTCAAGAACATACACTCTTTTACTATTATCTCTTTGGAGGACAATAATTAAATAAAAACTGAAAAAAGGACAACAAACACAGTCTGGACAATCACGGGAGCGTGTGATCAGCCAAAAGGTCTATTTTTAGCTCGCAAGATGTGCCAGAATGCCCCCAAATAAGATAATATAAAGTAACTACTGAAGAGACCTAGGGTTTTTTCAAAGAGGTTATTGTATTAAGACATCCATGTAAATAAGTTCTTTAATTTTTTTGTCCCGTTATGGTATCTATGAGTTGTCATTTTTTGGTGTTTGCGTTTCCTTTGTTTCTTTTAGTGGCAGCCTCTAACCTTCATAAAGTGGCGTTGTAACTATGTTTGGGTTTATTTATTTCCTTATTTTAATGGACTGGTTGTTTCGTTTTGATTTACAGAGCAGGAGATTTGGCAGATCTTACAATTAAGTACTTTGTTAATAAAAAAGAGGAGAGTGCCTCAGGACAAGGATCATTAAAACTGGACAATCCCAAAGTAGAATTCAACAAGGACAGTGATTTGATTGTTGGTGGTGTTCCTGCGAAAGTGAAACTGCCATCTAATGTTGAAGCGGTCAATTATACGGGATGTCTTGATGGCCTGGAGATCAATTATCACTATGTAGGATCATGGAATACCGAGGTACGTTTTTCACAACAGGTTCAACTGAATCATCTGCTTCTTAACTTGTCTTATATTAAGAGCAGTATTTAAATGAGTGTTGAAAAACCTAAACCAAAATAATCTCAGAGACCAATCAGAACAAAGGTGTAGGTTGTCATAACCCAATGGGAACTCAGAGTGTACATTATCATTAGCCAATGCAAACTCGGTTAGTGCTAAAAGGGCGGGAAACGTGAACGACTGAGTCGTTATTTTTTTTACTTTTTCATCTGATTGGTTGAAAGGATGGCACAACTTTTCTGAACCACTCACAGAGAAGAGTTAAGTGAAACCCAAGCAATCCTGGATTACCTTTGACACTCAGTTAAAACTTTCTTTAACACGGAAGGTCAGTTAGTGTAAATTTGGTTCTTGTCGGCGGTAAAACGATTGTTGAAGGGATTTGCTCTAAAATGGTGGATTGTGGGTGACCTCATTCTGGCACACTGAGTCAAATTTCTATTTCAGAAATTATTTGCCTTTCATACTCAGGTAAGTTACTGTTAAACTACAAGAAATATTTGCACACCTTTCATCAATTATTTCCTTTATTTTAATTTCTTGTAGATTCTTGAGAAACCATCAAAAAATGAAGTGTGCCCCTCTCGCACGGGTCCTACAGAATTTGCTGCGGATAAAGAAGACGAACCCGTCAGAACTTTCTTTGGCACAGGTTATGTCAAATCTGGTCCTTACCCAGATGACGATCCTATGGGAATCTTCGACCTAAACTTTAGAACCACGTCTTCAAACGGAATCTTGGTTATTGCCATTGATGATGATGATACATCTCTTTTCCAGGCCCTTGAGTTAGTCAACGGGAGGCTTGTTTTCTCTTACAATATGGGTCATGGATACAAGAAGCTGACTTCCGGAAAGTTGTATGACAATGGAATGGAGTTCACCGTTGTAAAGCAGGATGTTAATAATAGAGGTTTCAGGTTTTCATTATTTACTAAAACCAAAGACGGCAGGAGGGAGACGCTTGCCACCAATAAATGGTATTATGATAGTAAACGCCGCCCCAAGTTTGTGAATGCTGACTTTGTGTATTGGGGAGGCATAGAGAACAGAACCACCATTCCTGTGAATGTGTAAGTACTTTGAATAGTGTCATAGCGGAGCTCGCAGGGCATAGGCCCATAATTATACAAAATGGTTGTAGTATCCCCTCAAGCCGAAACAATTTGGACTGATGACCGTCCGTGCGTCCGTACGAGGTGCTACTTTTAGCATGCGCGGTCAACTGTACCGCGGGCACGCCAACGCCACGGCTTTGTTCAGTAGTCCAGTGGTCAGTGCATTGGGCTCCGAGTCGGACGACCTGGGTTCTAGTCCTGGCTGGGGCAAGCCGTTGTACCCTTCAGACGTGCAGGGGAAAAAAAAAATACGAGCTCCGCTTTTAGGCTTGGCTAAATCTCTATATTATTGTACACCCCCTTTTTTTTACTTGTGGTAGTCTGATGTTGTACGATAAGCTGAATTACCCATGCATTTTAATTGGTTCTTAGCTATGATCATTGATTTTTGGATTTCAAGTCCACCGACATGTGCACCGAGGCGTAACAAAAGACCCAAATTAAAAGGAATGATAATAAACTGCAATAGCCTCAAAGGTTTTAACCATTCTACTGAATTCAAAGCACTCTTGGAGCTTCATGATCCAGATATTGTCCTAGGAACTTAATCTAAACTTAGTCCGGATATTCCGTCGTACTCAATTTTCCCGCAATCATATACG